GGTAGGAAATAAATAACCCTGAATAATCCCAAGGTTGTTTATTTCAATTCCGCTTGTAAGGAGATGCCAGGAAGGATTTATTTTGTGTTTGTTTTTGTTGCTTACAAAATATATTGTCCTTATTGTTCTAGTCTTGTTCACAATTCATAAACTCCAAAGTTAATTAGAGTGTCCTCAAAATACTGGAAGAAAAAGGGGTGGTGGTAATAGGAATGTTTGCAGATTTTGGTGAGAAACCTAGAATGAAAACTGCCCTAGGATTTAAAATGCTTTACCAGATACGTACAGGAGAAACAGTTAATGTCTTTATCTTATTAACTACTCTTGAGTCTTATCAATTCACATCAACAATTATTAATTGAGCATTTGCAAACTGTCTGATTGTCTGAATGGCCTAGAGGGGTGCCAAATAGTTTAAAAAGTGCCTTCACTTCAAACATACTACAATCAAGTTGAAAAGAATAAATTCACAGAAATACAAGATTGTAAGCTCTAGGAAACACCTTTTGTCATCCATGGTCTACAAAGATACCTGAACCAAAACATAATGAACATGTGGTCTGGTGAGTGAAAAGGCTCCAAGATGTGAGCCTAATTCTTATGCTACTACCTGTACAACCACCTGTAAGCAAATAATTAAAACTGTTTCCATTACAGGATCCTGATCTATAAAGTGGGAAACTAGAATAATAAAGTTTCAAAGTTTCTAGTGAGGTTTAAATGAGATGATACATGTGTATGNTGAGCCTAATTCTTATGCTACTACCTGTACAACCACCTGTAAGCAAATAATTAAAACTGTTTCCATTACAGGATCCTGATCTATAAAGTGGGAAACTAGAATAATAAAGTTTCAAAGTTTCTAGTGAGGTTTAAATGAGATGATACATGTGTATGTGCTTTATGCTGTGAATAGTGTGTAGTGCTGAGGCTTATAAAGGAGGAGCTTTATGTCTATTTATAATTTCACAAAGTTTGTATATGTGTCTATCTATCTACATTTCTTTATTTATCAGAAAAGGTATGCCCAGAAATGACACACACTGACTCTTGGATAGTGGTTACCTCTAAACAAGAGAAGAACAGGAAAGAATGGGAGTAAAATAAGACTTTAGCTATATCTGTAATATTTTATTTTTTATTCTATTCTATTACATATTATTTATCATTTTATTTCTTTCTGAAGAAAAAATATGGCAAAATGTTTACATGTGTGAAAATAGGGTGGCAGGTTCAAGGGTATCTGTCATATTTTCTTTTTTTTTTTTCTGTGCTTGAAAAAGTTTCAATATATAAACTTCAAAACAGCCATAAAGAAGTCTATTTGTATGCTTAAATTTGTCTCTGGAAAGGAAATTGTTAGATTCAGAAAATATTTCCAATTTTCTCTATTTTCTAATTATGTCTAATAAGTATGGAATAATTTTTAATTATGTGGAAAAACTAGAAAAAGTAAAGAATGATGATGATGATGATTGATGATAGTTAGAGAACATGTGATTTTTGATAATAGATAATGAAGAAGATAGAGGGAAAACACATTCTGAGCATGACATTCTGAGTTACCGCAATCTGATTCTTAGGCTGCCAAGACCACAGAGGGAAAGAATGAACAAGCAACCCACATCCACAGGTTATCTGTCCACTCTGTTGCCAGGTGTTCTGGAAGCCACTTTTCAAATTTTGTTTCAAGACCATGGAGTTTCTGTTTTCTTTCCAATGCCAAACAGCCTCTAGTAGCAAGAAGGTTTTCTTTTCTGACAAGCTCTCCAAGAAAATCCACCCCTGGGCAATTTAGAGTTAATGTCTGTCAGTGCAATTAAACCTAGTGGCAGATCATTCTGCTAAAAGATTAGATCATGCATGTCTTTACAAACTATGCATTATTTTTTTAACTTTTCCCTCTTAAGCTCTCAGGGGATCTTCTGGGACATAAATGTGCTGCTTGTGAATCATCAGAAGTGGGATAGGGGGGCAGAAAATCTTCTGTGTGGTCTTCTGTTTAAATCTCTCAGGCAGGCATTTATGGAAACTGCTGGAAGAAACTTAAAAAAAAAAAAGCCACATGCTTCTTCTCACAATCCAACCCTCCTCTCTACTATTTGTTTATGAATTGTGTATACAGGAGGAATGGTACCTTGGCTCTTCTATTTCAGCCTTGAAATGATGCTAAGGCACCTTTCAAGACAAGCGTTCAAGGAGAAGAACAATTATGGATCTAGTCCCTAATCACTGATTTTATGGCCTACTCATGAAAGGCCTGGGACTTGGGTGATGGCCATGAAGTTTCAAATCATCATGCTCAGTGAGAAGGCATCAATACTGCTGTGGTAGATCCCACATACAAATAGAAAAACCCACTGCCCCAAGGCTCATCCTGGGTTGGTCTTCATAAGGAGAATATGAGATGCCTGCCAGAGTACAACTACAGAAGAGAAATGCAGGATAAGCACCCAATAAAAACTTATATCTAATAAACAACAGTGGTACATCTACACAATGGAATACTACTCAGTTATAAAAACGAATGAAATACTGCCATTTGCAACAACATGGATGGACCTTGAGAGAATTATATTAAGTGAAACGAGTCAGGCACAGAAAGAGAAATACCACATGTTCTCACTTATTGGTGGGAGCTAAAAATTAATAAATAAATTCAC